CAGATGCGATCTTGCTATTCAACCAACTTTCTTCTCAGAGATAAAAACTACAGACAAGGAGCACTCGGCCTCGTAAAACACATGCAACCAATAATGCGTGTAGTTTAGTTGAGTGATTCCTCCACAGATGGACGTCCACAACGATCCTAGTGAACAAACGTGGAACGACTGTTTGCGCCATAAAAACTAGCTGGTTTGAAAGATGACATCTTATAGGTTTTTTTGACGTTTTATAGGTTTTTTACATGTTACCCGTGCGGATGTCGACGGGGTGGCGAGATGGAGGACGCACTCGGCAACCAGCGTCCAGGCGGTTATCATGGCTTGACCCTCCGGAGTTTATAACATTTGCTTGCTTGCACAATATGTTAACCGAAGATGCTTACCTAAGGTTGTAGCGATGGTGCTTTTAAATAAATAAAGAGAGCGCTCCAAGGATATAGACTGCGGGTACTATAAGAATCTATTAGGATCTCAGAGCCTATAGGACCAAAATTCCTGGGTTTGGTCATTGTTATTGTTGCGTGGCAGGAAAACTGCCATTGGCAAACAAAATATGGTTACGAAAGAAAGTAGCTCTGAAGGTTTGTGCAGTGTGGCAACGAGGGCATATTCAAAACATCGGTGACGAATACTGGCCCGTACGTTCGTAAGTACTATATGATGACATTTTACCTATAATTAAACAGGGTCGAAGAACCAGCAGCAGGCGCAAAAAGCCTAGATCGAAATATTTTTATTCAAAGGTGCTCGTCTGTGACAGAGTCTAAATTCTTGAAGGAGCCTGGAGTTCCACAGGGACCTGTCTTGGGGCCATGACGTGGCCAGCTATTCATGTGGTGAGCAGGTGTGTTCATCCGCTTGATCATAACCTTGGTACTGCTAAATACAATTCGATTACTGAAGCTCTATGGCCAGGCAGTATGGTAGCGAGCAAGGACTTCTACAAGGATCTGAATTGGAGCCATTACATTGCGTGGTTTTTTAGGCATGGCGTGGATAGTTTCGTATTGCACACAAGCTCCTTGTGTAGCGTATTTGCTTGATGGTTACGACTTGATGACTTTCATCTGCTTGCTCACGTGCCTTAGGCCCGTATCGTCAGTCGACCCTACAATTGTAGGGCGCGTTTATGGCCTCCTTGATTGTCATACTTCTTTCTCTCCTTCAAAAATTTCTAGATTACACTTGTCCCGTGTCAGCGTCAGCGCTCTCCTATTGTGAAGATTTGTTTTCCTTTTAAATTGTAGAAAATTTCAGGCTGATAAAACATGATATAACTCAAAACCAAGCACAATTTGATGCAAATTGAAGCTTGTGACATAACCTCAAAATAGAGTTCTGACACGGAGAAGTAGAAAACTATGACAATCAAGGAGGCCATAAAGGCGCCCTACAATTGTAGGGACGACTGACGATACGGGCCTTAGCACTGCGAAATATATGATTAGTGAAGCTTTTTGTTGCTTAGTGTCGTAGCGAAAAACGTGGCGAATGTGACTGAAAATTTCCACAAGGATCTGGCTTGGCGCCATTATGTTAGAATTTAACATTGTATGCGCCTAGGTCGAGCAACAAAGGTCCAAAAGAGCCTTGGTGGCGATGTTGTTGTGGATGACACACTCTCGTATTGCGAAAATCACGTAACTTTTTTTTACTATTTTGATCACTTATTAGTAATATTGAATTTCTCTTTATTGATTATAGAGTACCGATTCCTGGACAAAACCCTTTCTCAATGATTTTCTTTTGTCAAATTTCATAGCTTATTGATTGTATAATTTCACACGTATTATATCTTTCTCAGCGATTCAGTATTGTGCTGAAATCTTTTGGACTCTAATGTTATAGTATTATTAACGACTATCTTCGAAATTTCCTCATTCAATTTTGTTGGTCCCTCGTAGAGAGTTGGTTACCAGCGCGCCACCTTGTGACTTTACGCATACTAGCCGTATAGGGATATTTGGTCCTATCAAGATACCTTCTTCAAGGCCATTCATTTAACCTTTTAATGTTTACTTTCCTATCAAGATACCTTCTGTTAAAATTTGATTTACTATCAAAATACTTTCTTTTGTAATGTGATTGGTTGTATGCCGGCGTTTGTTTCGTTAACTTCCAGATTTTGGTATATTAACACCCCAAACACCAATTTATGGGGTAATACCCTTTTATTTTGTACCTTACGTTTAGTTGTTTTGGTTTCGGTGCTACCCGTCCATTTTCTAATGGGATTTTAACCTCTCTTTTGTATACCATCGGACCACGTCCATTAATGCATGTCCTGGAGAAGTTTGTTCAATATCTGCTTCCTTTTAAGCTTCATTCCTTCGTACGTGTACCATGGTAAACATTTTGCAGAGTTAATTATCACGATCTAATAATTTTATTGCCAGGTAGTTTTGAATAGTCTCCTTTCATTTAACTTGTACTCCAATGGTGGAGCATATGTGCTGCTTGTTTTGATAATACATGGTGATTCTTTTTGTTAATATCTTGTTTTATATTACTCTCTCTATACAGTGAATTATTTAGTCAACACTTTTAGATTCTTTTCTTTGTGTGGTAGTCAGGTAAAGCAAATTTCGACTAACATTAGATTTCACATATAGTAATTTATTAATTCATCAATTAATTTAAAAAAAAATAAAGAGGAATCACACCACCATTTCCTCTTGTTTATTAAAAGGCATGGCGATATGTTCCACAAGGGTCTGGCTCCGAGCCATCATGGCGGTCTTTGTTACACAGCAGAAATATACGACTTTATATATTACCAACGGTATCTCAAAAGGAATGCCGATATAATCCAAAGAAAACAAATACATTTTTTGGGCACACTAGGTGAATGCCATAGTTGTTTCTTTGCTAAGTGTTATTTGTTAAGATGCAACAATTCAGTCGTATTATTAGGACCTATTTACATATAGACTTATAGAAGGAAAAGATCCTAGTAGTTGTAGCACTGTTTTGGTATAATAGTCAAAAAACCTTAAAAATGAATGAAAGCCCTGGGCTACGAGCTATGTGTAACGTACATCTATCTGTATCTGAATCTCCGTTCGATAGGTGCTCCGACCACGTATACGTTGTATAAAGTTAATTTGAATGTTCGTGCACCTCGAATTCGTCTAATTACAGCCCTCGAACGTTCGAAAACTGCCAGTGGAGCAGAATTCGCTTTAAATTTAGAGCATCGTGCATCCGACCGTATCGTTGGCGTAGCTTGTAGATCCCTGATTGCTACTCTACCTACGGAAAATATATTTTCCCGTGTTAGGTGCCATAATAGCTACAGGAATGTGCTAGTTTTTAAAATAAAGGGTTGTCCAATAGGGACGCAGGAAAGTAAACGTCAATTTGACATAGACGCCATCTTTGTTTTATGTCACCGACATGTCATTTTGTTAGTTGAATGTTTACCATTGATCGCTATGGAGTCGTATTCGATTGAAGACGGCATTAAAGTTATTCAAGAGCACTACAAAAATGGTGCAAAAATAAAAAACACGTATCGCGCGCTTCGTGAACATTTCGGTCGCAACGACCGCCCAAACGAAACAACCATCGGTCGTCTGGTGCGCAAATTCGAGGCAACAGGTTCTGTGGCAAATCTGCCAGGCTCTGGCCGGCCAAGGAGCGTTCGCACACCGGAAAATATTGCTGTTGTGAAGGAGAGTGTGAGCGACGAAGCGCATTTCACTTTGAATGGGACGGTAAACAAGCAAAACTGCCGCATCTGGGCGAACGAAAATCCCCGTGAGTAGCAAGAGCAGCCGATGCATCCTCAAAAAGTGACTGTGTGGTGTGCATTGTGCTCAAAAGGCATCATCGGACCTTACTTTTTCGAAAATGCGGCCGGGGACGCCGTTACCGTCAATTCTGAGCGATATCACGTGCTGATAGAGGACTATTTTTTGCCGCAACTTGAAGGAATGGATATGGACGATGTTTATTTCCAACAAGACGGTGCAACATGCCACACAACCAACGTCAATATACATCGATTGCAGTCCTTCTTCGGTGATCGCGTGATTTCGCGCAGAGGAAATGTGCCATGGCCACCAAGATCGTGCGATTTGACTCCCTTGGACTTCTTTTTATGGGGATATTTGAAAAGCAAAGTCTACGTCAACAAACCAGCCACCCTCCAAGAACTCAAAAACAACATCATTGCCGAGATAAATGCCATAGAACCGACCATGTTGCAAAATGTCATTGAAAAATTCGACCATCGCGTGGACGTCTGTAAATCCAGTCGTGGTGAACATTTGAGCGATATTATTTTTCATACATAAATGGTATAAATGAACCTTCAAAATAAAGTACCCAACTTGATTTGAATATCAATCTTTCTTGTTTTGATATGCGTTTACTTTCCTGCGTCCGTTTTGGACAAACCCATAGTTTACATAGATCAGCTATGCATCTGTACTAATAATACTTTTATTTAAGTTTACCTACAAGCTATACCACCACTTAACCCTTGAAAAACTAGCACTAGAATATTGATGAAAACAATTTCAACAAAATTGAAATGAAAACTACCAATTGAATACAGATGTGTGTACCAAAAACCTATAAAGGATTTATGTGATATGCAGAAATGCGGGGAAATATGGATAATCTATATACTGAAAATTAACTATTAACTATAATTTGTCTAATATGCTTTTTGAAATTATTAAAATAGAGATGTTTAGCAGTTGATGATATTGCTTTATACGAGTATAGATTGATCGCATTATAAAAAATATTTGTCGTATTCAAAAAGTTCTTTAAACTATTTTGAAAATGACCGAAAGACGTGAGGTGTAGGCAATTCCAAGATACATGCATTTTTAGACGTTGCTAGTAAATCCGCACTTTATTTGAAGCTCACTGTACAGCAAGTAAAACCTTTACTGATGATCTTATGTTGAATACATTTTTTATATTTTTTATGTGGTTATCTCATTATTTGTATTTGTTGATTAACCATTACTTTTTCTTTCCAGGTAAGAACCTTATTTGGAGATACACCAGAATAACGAAGTAAGTCAACCTAACTAAGAATAACGTATGAAAAGTATTTTATAGAGACTCGAATACTAGAATACTAAACAAAGTTCGAATGGCTTGTTGAAGAAAACTCACAGTCTGTATGCTGCTTCTATTATAATAATGAAAAATTGTTTACTTATTATTCGTAGCATGTCTGAAAAAGCTCATAAACATTAATGAAATACCGCTGACCTTTGACTTATCAGCATCTCCAATATTTTTCCACTTTTAACAGATTTTGTAAATGTAATGAAATTTTAATTGTAAATTGATGATAAATGAATTTTCATTCAACCACGACTGGAAATTGCTACTATCCACAAATGCGCATATATCATACTAAATTGTATCACATAGTTAAACTCGATACATATTGGGGGCTAATTTGAATATGAAAATAGGAAGTTTCGCTATCGCCTTCCGTTAGGCAATCACTCATGGCGTTAATCATTTTAACATTTATTGTTTCCTTTTAACCGTTTGACACAGTAACAGTAACTCTTTTTACTTTTCCTAACTCGGAACCTATTTCTTTAATCGCCTTACACATTGTACTAGAAGAGAAGACACTTCATTGAATGCCTTTATAATTATATTTATTTATTATCCGCCGGTCGCCCACATTGACCTTGGGTGTCACCTACATCATAGATAGGGAAGCCGATCGTAATTCTCTTGTTACATCATCGCGTACTGAAGTCACCTTTTTTCTATTAAACGGCAAACTTGTCGAGTACGCGATGTATCCAAAACTTTGGGGTCGCCTCTTGGACTATTACTGCCTTACAAATGAAAACAGCGATCTATGTACGGACCGCCCTTAGCTACTCAGGCGGTGTTGCCAAACTGCCATAAAATGTTTACAAAACGCTACATTTATTCTAAGCAGAATGGGATTCAGCTCTTTTCATATCATACGAAATAAATAAACATATCGTCTATGGCCAGGCTCTCTAAATAATTGGTAGTCATCTCCTATGTCTATCTAATTTATTGTGTTACTCATGGCCTAAAGGGTCTCAAATTCATTTTTCGATGGCACATATCCAACAAATTTTATTCAAGCTGCTCTGTCAAGGTGATAAACCTCCCGGTTCCATCACCTAGCATATCAAGATCAAAATATCATTGACGCGAAATCGATATTTAATATTTTTGGTGTGCTGAACAGCAAAATGTATTTATTTTAGTTCTACTATTCAAAATATCTGAAACCTATGTATATTTAGAATCAACGCCTGATAGTCATTTAACTCCATATTTTCTCCGAATTTTCATGCTTGATTACATTTATCTAAACCAATCATTTCGATGGCTACATCACAGTAAATAGGTATTTTTTCATCTCCGAAGCCAATTTATGAAGAATTCGACTTATACGAATACACCATCAAGGCCACGCAATGCTGTGACCAGGAAATTGTTAACTTTGATACCTGACAACGCAAAATTGAATTTTTACGGTGGTCGGGGATCGTGTCGAAAGAATAATTGATCGTAACGTAATAATGTGCAAAAAAGCGAAAACCGAGTAGGTCAGCGTTTTTTTCTGCAATTTATTTGTACCGAGCCGTGTGAAGATTCAGTTTTGGTATTATGCAATTTATGTGGTTAATAATGTTTCGACAAATAAAGGCTGTTCCTATAGGTACTTGGGATTTAAACTTCTCGCCATTTTACTTCCAAATGAAAATGAGATACTGTTTTTTAGATCATTACATTTCTTCCTCTCTGCAATAATGATATTGCAAAAAAAACATTCGGTAAATAATGAATATGTGCATTCATACCTTCATGTAGAGCTTTGCTAGAATTGTCACTGCTATCAAGCCCTTTATCCATTCTGAATATTATTAATAATTATTATTCGGCACCATTCTGTGTTACAGATATTGGCTTTATTCTGATAGTGTTGCCTAACGTTAAAGAAATTCTCAGATATGCTACATTTCAAAGACTATTCAAATTACATGTAATATATCATATTTAGTGGAAGAGCACTTTATATCCCTTGGCTATATGGGTTTCAGGATATAAAAAGCTCGGCCATCAATGACATACTTTTACGCCAAGATATTTTTGAAGAAAATATTTGATAACTCTCATGTCATTCCTAACATAATAAGGAGACCGCAAGTGAAGGAACTGCATAGAATATTCATTATAAATCATTGCGTTGTAATGATGGGGATTCCACAGTAAGTAGCAAGTGTTGTAAATAAAAAAAATTCCGCCAGATAACCTTGCGCACCCATAACAACATAAACAACGTTGAAATTGAACGCCATCCCATTCCAGTCTTCTATTAAATGAATTAATCATGGTGATGGCTGCGGTAGTGACGATACGACGATAACTTTGAATAACAACAACAGAAACCGGTTTATCACGCTTTATTAACTTTGAATTCCGAGAACTTTCGTTAAGGAATCGATTTTACACACAAAATAGTCCGATGAGTAAGCATATAGTATAATAGAAGTAGATAAGGAAGGTTTGCGACTCAAGGTATGCTTGCATCTTAGCATTAAGGCTATAAGAAATAGAACAGATTGATGCATTGCTTCTAGATGACATGAAGAAATTATGAGAGGCCTGTCTTCAACCACTGTTTATTTTTTCTTGTATAACTACACTTGGTCCCAAAGGGTCTCCGTGGTAACGCACAAAACCTGGTAAAAATTGAAAACAAAGCATTGGAAATGAACAAAAATGTTCACCTATTTCAAAGTTACTACCTTGAACAGAATCAGAGCTTTGCTTATCATGGCAGACTAGAATTTTTTGGTGTATCAGTCAAAATTTGAGAGTTTATGTATCATCGGTTGTGTTGTGTGTTGGATATATTTGGGCATCTGAATATGGATTACAATTGATAGGGCACGAATCTTCATTTTATTTAACAGAAAATTGCCATTATTGTTGCTGTCATATACACCATAAATAGTACGGTTTACTATTTTTAGCTTCGCTATTTTAGTTTCGTTCAGAGGTTTTTAATAGTGTTACGTCTTTAGCCCAGATTGGAATTAATGATGTATGTGAACTTTGAGGTACTGTCAGGTAAAATCTAGTGTTAATTTCTAATATTGAGAAATATAGCCTTATATACAGCCATATTATGGCAGGTGGTCGGAAATGGTTATCCAACTTATCCAAATTTGTTCTTTGAGTGGCCTGAAAATACCCTGTTAGATACAAACAGATCTCTGATTGGGACTCAACGTCCTATAATATGAGACGCGTCTGGACTCGAATTCTATACTTGTTTTGAATTTGTCTTTGAGGTGACCTTGAAATGACTTTCAGATGTTCTTATAGTGACTAACTGATCTCTGATTCGGATTTATTAACCAGAAAAACCTAAATGACATGCTCAACTGTTCGGCTTTGGAAAATGTCCTTGATGACCTTGAAGTGACCTTCAAGTGCACTCGCAGGGACAAACTAATGCCGGATTTGAAATCAGCGACCCAAAACAACCTGTTGTACTAAAAATCGTAGAAATGCAACAGACATTTTATTTTTAGCCAGCTTTGCGGAGCTCTAGGCTGTGTAAAGTGACCATGTTAATGGTAGCAACAATATATGCTTCGCCATTGCTTACACGTTTTTGTTGATTGAGATGTCAGTCAAAACTACTATCTTCACACTGAAAAATTGAAACCAAACGTTTTAAATTAAAATCATTAACAACATTCACAAAAAACGGTTCAGAACTTGTAGGTAAACGTGTACAAATATATAATAAATCGATAATATACAATAATGAATCAATCTCTCCTTCCGCCATTTCGGTAAAGAAAACAAAGTTATAAATAATAAATGTTGAATGAACCGAGCAGACCTATCTATGTATTCAAGATAATTTAATAGAAGTGAACGTGGGAGTTTCCATTCTGCACTCTGTTATTATTAGCGATTATTTCAACAATACGAATGCGGAAAACAGTTGCTTGCCGCTTCTTATTTATATCCACACAGATACTAATCAACGTGGCATTGACTTGGAGGCTTCTCATTGTCTGATGTTATTGTGTTTGTTACCTACTGTATTGTATATTGTGCTCGATTTTCTTTACCCACATACGATATGCATAGCAGCTTAATCATAGTCACATGTGTGGAAGTATGCGTTACAATTATGTTGTAGATTAGCGCATTGTTATTCTTACGAGGTATTCCACGCCAATCGAGTATTTTATTTAGCTCTTGAAAAGGACCAAAACACTTATATACTTCGATCTGCCTAATAGACATTTTGATTCCTCTATAATACAATCAAAGCCTGTCCCACATTCATCTTAGAGTATTTATTACAGTATTTAATACGAAAACATAACTGAATTACACAGTGAGCAGCAGTTTGCTACAAAAAATTACGAAAGACGTTCAGCATAGCACAAAAAGTGTGTTTTTTCAAACGATGTTCTTATTGGTTATTTGGTTGGCCAAGCCAAGTGAATCACTATTTCTCTCTGTGGCTGATTGTTTCTAGTGGGCGTCTACATAAGTGATAAGGAGATTGGAGGTTGGTGTTTACGAGTACGTTCAGTGTTTTTTGTGCGAAATTTGAAGGAGTGTAGTTTTCTAATAGCTCTCAATGGTCGGCCAATCAGAGGCGTCTAGAGGTTTCTTGTTTTCAATCGCAGGTTCGTGTCAGTGTATTATTAAGAAGCTGCTGGTCTCAGTGATACTGTACACCTGTTAGACATAATGAGCCGTATTAATAAAACAAAGGATATCCTTGTACTTGCAAATTTTAAAGAAAATCCTCCAGATGGTATTTCTAATAATTTGAAGTAAATGTTTTTGCTTTTTCAGTATAAGCATATCCTTCAAAGCGGTGAAGTAAAAGGATATTCAGAATCTTCACCTTATACTTAGCATAGAAGCATATCCTTCAAAAATTCTGAGTGTGGTCAGCAGCAGACTCAACTTCGTAACGAAAAGAGGTCAAACGATGTTGGCGGAAATTGTGGATGTTAGGGATGTTAAAACGTACAAACCTCGTTTACCTTCAGTTGGTCGTGACTTCAAAAAATTATATCGGTTC